CCCAAACGAGCCCCAAACGAGGCACGATGCGACTCCGGGCAGCCAGCTCTTCGGGCAGGTGCGTCGCTGCCTCGCCTGGCGCGCCGTCGCCGCCGAGGGGCGACCGGAGGCCGAAGGGCGCCGCGGCCGCCAGGCCGGGAGGCCGAAGGCTGCCAGGGTTGCGGCGGCCCACTCCAGCCTCGCCCGACCTGGCATCCCTAAGGGTTTGTCGACTTTTCGCCAGTCGGCTTGTGGGGATCGAGCCAGATCAATCCAGGCAAATGTAGATGAATCGAGGTCAATCCAGGTAGATCCCGGTGAATCCGGATGCCTTCCAGGTAGATCCACAGGTCTCCAGGGAAGGTTGAAGCAACTCGCCGCTCCAGCCAGAATCGAAGGACGCCAGAAGTCGTTGAGCCTGGAGCGATGGCACGCCAGGATCGTGGACACGGCCCCGGGGCAGCCCGAGCGCCGCCTCGGCCTGCCACGGCCAGGCAGGGCGGCGAGTGGCATCGCGGGCGGGAGACGGAGTGGGGCCCGCCATGCTGCTCTCCTTTAAGCGCGCCATTTCTCTCTCTCTCTCTCTCTCTTTCTCCCTCCCTCTTTCTCGAACCGCTGTGGTTGCGGGCAGCACTCTTTTCTCCTTCGAAGCAAGGTGACTGAGCAAGCCGTTCTGTCCAAGCTCACTGAGTCAGTTCTGTTCGTTATAGTATGTGATGCTCGGTTTGGTGCGCAGTCATAAACAAACATGTTATGTTCACACAGTTTAGTTTATAGCCGTTGCCGTAGTGGTAGCTGTCGCAGAATAGGTCCCTCATGGCATGCTATGCTATGTTAGGGTAACCTCTATTATGTCCCTCTCTGGCACCGTATGCTTTGATACGCCATTGTAGAATTCAATATGTGATGGCGTGCTTTGATATGGACTGTTCTGGTGTGGCATGGTCTGGTATGATTTGTCGTGTTATGGAATCGCATGCTCATCATGCTATGTATCGTTATCGCCAGAATGTAATTATGATATCAAATGTTCATAGCGTTCGTTTTGTATTATGATTGTAATGTGTTGTGTATTACTCGATTCGATGCCGTAGTAGAAGTTGCAGAGCAGAGCATGTCTGTTCGTTTCCGCTATGTGATTGCGAAGGCTTTTCGGGCAGTGCCGCCCGGCCTGAAGGCGGGGCGTCCACCAGGATTTCTGCTGGCGACCCCCCCAGGGACCCGACGGGAGCCCCGGGGGGGGGGGCGGTATTTTGACCCGAGACCCCCGCCCGCCTCCCCACCCCCATTCCCGTTTCCCACCCCAACCCTTCAGCCCGCCTTCCCTCTGGCAGGGAAGGGATCCAAGGGAAGGGGCTTCCCTTCGACTTAACTATGGCGCTCCTCCATTTCCTTGTTCCTCAATGCCCCTGCGGCTGACGACCAAGGCAGTGTCTTCCCCACGCCGAAGGGTTTGCTTTTCTCGTTATGTTACGATATGATATGGTATGTCATTGTATAAGGTGGTATGTTTTGACGTGATATTGATATGTGTTGTAATGCTATGTTCGGTTATGTTCGGCTGTGTCATGCGATGTAAATGCTATGATCTGTCATGGTATGGTATGATGTGCTATGGTATGATCTGGCCATTATGCTGTTTTTTTCTGTAGTGATGCACTCTGCCATGTTGTGTTGTATCCTCAACTGTTTGTTATGACATGTGTGTTGGCTGTGTGTGCTCCTGATGTCGATTCTTCATGCCTCTTTGCTCATAGACGGCGAAACGCCGTGACGCCTCCCCCTCTGGGCTGGCTGGTACGCAGGATGTCGTCATTCTTCGAGGACGCGAGACGGGAAATTCTAGGACTCTCGGGATCCTGTGTAGTCTGGCGACCGCGGTATGGTGTCGTCATTCGTCGAGGATGCGAGGCGGGATACTCAGGGATTCCCGGGATCTTGTGGGGTGTGGCGACCGCGGTAAGCAGGGTGGGTAGACTAGAGTTTTCTTTTTCAGATCTATCAGTTCCAATTTGTCGGGGGGGGAACAAGGGGGGAACCCTGAGATCCGACGTTGCCAAAAGAGCTGCAACAACGCAGAAAATCAAGACCAGAGCCCCACACCCCACCTTCCTGCGTCACTCTTCGAGCTGGGCTGGGCCGATCTGCGAGGGCCCCCTGGGCCCGAGACTGAGTGAGCACGCCCGTTGTGAAGAAGTGGCAGCGCCAGCATCTCGGGGACAGAAACACACAGGAAGACAACACACACTGTGTGTGTTTTTTCCCACTGTGTGTTTTTGTTCCCTGTGTGTGTGTGTGTTTTGTTCCCACGTGTGTGTTTTTTCCCCACAAGGGTGGGGGAGGAGCGCTGCCACGGGGTGGACGTCGGCCAGAGACGCCCCCGAGCCCCACGACCCGCTGGCGGGCGCCTCCGGCGAGCAGCTGCGGGCCGCCGTGCGCTGCGCCGTGCGCCTGGAGCTGGTGGCGTTCTTCGGGGAGCAGGCGGCGCGGAAGGGCGGCCCGCAGCGGCCCTCCGTGGCCCCGGACTTCGTGCAGAGCCAGACGGTCGTCCGGCATGGACCCAGACCCCCTCGCGTTGTGAAAAGATCACGACGGGCGACTGGAGTTGTTTTCGCCATTTTCAGCCTCGGGGGGCCCTGACCGGGCCTCGGGACCGTCAAAAAACTATTCAGGATGAAAAACCGGTCCCGGGGAAGGGGTCGAGACCTTTGGGGGTCGACGTTGTGAAAAATCACGAATCACGGCGTTGGGGTTTTGGGGAGAGAGATCGACGTGTGAGGGTGCCGAGGATTTTTCGGAAAGCCCGGGTGGCCTCCCGATGATGGTGGTGGTGATGGTGATGACGAGAATGGTCATTGGGATGATGATGGTGATGCTGATGATGGTGATGGTGACGGCAATGGTGATGCTGCTGATGATGATGATGATGATGATGACGATATGGATGATATTGATGATAATGAATATGTTGTTGATGATGATGCTGATGATGATGATGTTGGTGATGATGATGATGATGATGTTGGTGATGATGGTGATCATGGGGATGATGATGATAACGATGACGGTGATGCTGATGATTCCTATGCGGTGGCGATGAGTATGTTGATGTTGACGATGTTGCTAATGATGATGATGATGCTGATGACGGGGAGGAGTATGAGGAGGATGAAGGAGACGCTGTGCATAGCGGGAAACGTCAGAAACGTCAGGAGGATGAAGAGGAGGAGGATGAG